CGATGATTATAATCGGACGATTTCCATCAAATTAAAAATCAAAACAAAATTGATTTTAATGGATTATTCTGTAGAAAATCGATTAAAATCTTTTTTTTCTTGATTAAAAATCGATTAAAATGAGACGATTTTCATCGGATTTTAATCAAATTAAAAATCAAAACAAAATTGATTTTAATGGATTATTCTGTAAAAAATCGATTAAAATCAGTTGTTTTTTGATTTTTAATTTGATTAAAATCCGATGAAAATCGTCTCATTTTAATCGATTTTTAATCAAAAAAAAATTGATTAAAATCTTGATTTTTTACAACTTTTTTTTACATGGGTAAGGGGGCCCCCTCCTCAGAAAATCCAATTTTTCGGAGATGAGTCGAAATTGAAGTTTTATCATAGGAAGGTGCACTGAAGTCTCCTCTTTCAGAATATCTATGTTTTATCGAAAAATGAATTGATTTTGACGAACTTATCGTCTAAAACTTTGCTCCTACTATCATATTTTTCGAGAAATTTTCATGGTGTTTTTTTCAAGGTTTTTCGACTTTTTAGGCTGCTTTCTCTTTGCATCATCATTTCGTAAAGTTTTTTTATATACTAATCACTAAGAGACTATCAACACTTAATATTAAGATCACACATTTATAGCCTGCCTTGAACATTGATATATAAATCAGGTGATTTTCGAAAAAATCAACTTCTAATACTTATTTTTCGTTTTTCTCAAAATCAACTTTTTCGAGTTTACTGTTTACGCGGGGAAGGATTTCTTAATACTGACTCAATAGAGAAGGGATAATTTTTTTTTGTTGAATAGAGGACAGTTAGGGCTAGATCCTCACAGGCTTCGATTTTTGAATTTCTCATTCGCTGAAATAAAAAACTCATATATTTCATATTTATTAGCACTTTGAATTTGAACATTTTTCGAAAAAGTATTTTTAAAAATCAAACAAAGGGAAATTCAAAATTCGGGCTCTGTGAGGATCTGGCCCTAAGGGTACTCTACAAGTTAAAAACTGCCCGAGCTTGTTAGCTTGTATCCTTATTGTGAAATCCTTCCCCGCGTAAAGGGTAATGAATTGCCTAGAACTTGTGCATTTCTTTGAGATTTGGGGGAGATATTTTAACCATAAACTATTCTAGTCAAGGCTAACATTCTCTGAAATTTTGGTTGAAATCGGATGAAAAATAACAAAGTTCGTTTCTGAGGGGGGCCCCCTTAAGGATTCGTAGATACTATTCAATACAATTTTATTCTGAATTTTTCAAAAATTTTCATATGAAGGGTGTGGATGTGTATCTTCTAGGCACCCAAACGCACATACACACCCACACCACAAAACGATCTAATATATCTTCAATTTAAACTAATGAGCTTTCTTTTCGATATAAGTATAAAACTCTCTTAACAGCGAGGATTGATCAACTGATTTCCTAAAGATAACAAGTTATAGCATAATTATGTACAAAATCATCAAGAAATTACAAAATCATGATAATAATTAGTTCTTGTATTATAAAAATAAATAATACAAGTGGTTTATTTATAAGAACCATCTATAGTAGTATACATGACAATCATTAACAATTGATATTTATTTATATTCCCTAATTTTAAGAAAACAATACAACAATTTTTATAACAATGATTTTTATTCACGTGATGGAAAGAAAAAAATACAATCTACAAGCGAAGGAAAATAAAGATACAATTCTCTTGGGTAATCCATTGTCTTTTCAAAACTTAGTCGTTTTACATTGGCACAATTATGTCGTGTGGCATCTATGGTAAAATTCTCTGTTACAACTTTCAATTGATTAAAACGTACTTTAATTTCAGTTAGACACGGTACATACGTTCTTGTATCAAGTAAAAATTGTTCAATATAATAATTATCGACACACTTGATGTCAAGTGAAATAGGATTAGGATATTCCATAACCGAATATGATCGAATCTTATCAGCTTTAAATCGGCCAAAATTCTATAATGGTGACATAACATTAATAATAGAAAAATATTTCAATGATGGAAAAAGTTTAGCAATACGAATGAAAAATTTATATTTAAATGAAATCGCATCAATCACCTGTAGATAAGTAACACTATTGAATGTCATAGTTGGAGGGTGTGGGTGTGGGTGTGGGTGTGGGTGTGTGGGTGTAGATATCATTGGAGAACTGATCCACACCCACACCTGCACCCACATCCACACCCACACCCACACCCCATACCCACATCCACACCCCACACCCACATCCACTAGGATCCTGCAGGAACGGCTTTTTCCCATGTTCTCCCGTCCCGTTTCGCGCTGGAATCGGAAACGGGATTTCCCGTGAGATCTCAGGAACAGGAATGCTGGAACGAGTATTCTGGTGGACACTCCGGGAACACGGGAATCGTATTAAAAATTTCTGTTCCCGGCAAACCTTATGTCTGATTTCTGTTTGCATTAAAATCTGTTAATGTTACAGTATTTGATTTCTAATAGCTAGTTTAAATATAATTGAAAAGATAACGAATAACAATCAACAAAATCATATAAGTTCATTCAAACATAGATTATGAGAAACACGATATTCTTTACCACCATCGTCATCGTCGACATCGAAGCAGGGGTGCATGAAGATTACGTATGTGTCAAACTTGAAACTTGAATTTAATTGAAATTTCAACCTTGAAGTTTCAAGTTTTAAGCTTCAAGCTTCAAGTTCAAGTTTCAATAGATTTATGAGCTTCAAATCAGTAGTTTAGTTTTAAAACACGGAATCGTGTATTGTGAGAAAGATAAGGTCGCTAAAAGAAAGTATCAAGTAGGAGTTGTTTCAAAGAATGTGAATAATGAAATCATTGTACGTATTCTCAAAGTATTAGGGGAACCAGAATTCTGTTACGGGAACAGGAACACGGGATCGAGAACGAAGATTTTTCCTACGTGAACGGGGACGCGGGAACGGTAACAAAAATTTTCAATACGGGAACGAGAACCAAAAAAGTTGTTCTCGCAGGTCTCTAACAACCATACCCACCAACTCCCACTCCAAACCCGTTAAAACGAATTTTCCGTCTGATTTGTGTCATGTTTCCAATGTTTATTACTTTGCATTGGTCGGTTCACCACTTGGGTGTCAATGTGAAGTTCTACTAACTTCTGTCGAGTATAGAGCAAGGATATTAGATCTGATTAATACAATGCCTAACCTTCGATCACTAACTGTTCAATATCTAGATGATGACATAGTAAAAGAACGAGGGTCACTATACAGCATGTCCTAAAGTTACGCTCTTACCGATTATTGACCTTTGGATTGTCATAATTCAATAACTTAAGGTAATGAAGAGCTGAAATTGACACTGCAGAAAGATATATATAAGTTCTAGTATCAGTAAAATTGTTGTTTCATTTGGTCGAACTATGACGCTTCTAGAAGGGTAGCAAGTCATTGTAACGCACTCATTCAAAAGGACCTCTTTCACCAGAGCTATCGAAAAAAGTTTACATTCCTAAAAATTTTCTCGCTCTGAAATAAATGTTTTTATCTGTGTTAAAAGTTAAGATTATTGGTCTGATAATAGTGAAGTTGGTTATTTGGAAGTTTGTTTCTACAAACAGTTATCACAAAAACAATAGGGTAACGCGCTCATCGATTTGTTTTGATCATCTTAAAAGAAATATTTTTTTTGTAGTTTTGACAACAACGAAAGGTGATCCATTGATGTCAAACTGTATTTCAATCTTTGATAGTACCACTGTTATTTCCAGTTTTTCAAATGATAAAGTAGTTTTCGAAATATGACGAAAAGCAATATGACCCTTTTTTTCACTGTTTTTGCACAAAAAATGCTTGGTTTTGGCTGGAATCTACAGTTTATTTCCGTCGTTATTCAAAATAAATGCCATATACAGATAGAGGATATATGAAAATCTATCAATAGTTTTTGAATGAATAAATTTCGGTCGGCTTATTTGGATGAAACCCTCTGCTCAACGTTGCGCAAGCAGGGCTCATTTTCGCTGGATATCAAGCATGATTTTAAGAAAGGACTTTATGATAGGCACTGCATCTCGACACGTTCTTTTAAACGAAATAAAAATTATATGTATACAATGAGGATTCACAGAGAATTCCGAGTTGCGTGATCACGAAAGTATAAACTGAGAAAAAAATTAAAAAAACATTTTTCGCTGGTTCTGAAATGTCTGTTTTTTCAGATGTACATGATAAAATTATCAAAGATTTTAACGAAAAAGGAGGTATCCTATTAAAAACAACAGTGTTTCTGAAAGAACAGAACATGGACTATCTCCCCATGCATTTATCTCATTTTTTGTGCTTTTGATGAAAACTGACTTTTTTGAGGAAGGATAGGAGGGAAGCTTAATAAATCGTAACATACAGAAACAATTCGTTCGTCAACTATAGAATATACAACAACAAGTGAAAGACTAAAATCTTATTCTAATTCTAGTGCGATCTCAAGAAAACCTATAAAACGATTATCAGTCATCGAATGTCCATAGAGCAACCGTGTATAATTATTACCAACCGACGACATTTGAAATACCGCGTACAAAATACTCATAGACAACAACAAAATATTGTTCATGATTTGACTTTTGAAGCAGAAAACATTTATCAATATATCTCTAGACATCTAGTGAACAATTATCAATTTGATTCGATGAAACTTCAGTCCTTCAATTTAATGAGATGACCTTCAAATATGGCATTACTTAGCCGCTTGTCAAATCAATCAGCTAAAAGAAAAAGATTCCAAAGAGATGAGTGTCTTCGTCAGCAGATCATCAGAGTAACAAATGAATATCAAAATGTGAGTGCAATTGAACAAATTGTCATCTAGACATACTCTTTGCTGATGACAAATAATCTTTGAATCGTGTTTGTTAGATGAATAAAATGTTTCGGATTTCGACGATTTAATGAAATAAAATGAGATTCAAAAATAAGAAATTACGAAATTGTAAGGTTCACTATCAACATGCGCTATCCCAATTAAGCAAAGGTGCTGAACGTTCTTCCGGATTTAATTTGAACTTTCCATCACCACGATAGCTTTCAAACCGAACATACCATGTACCATCAAATCGATTTTTCTTCGAATTCCACTTCAGTTGAATAGTTGATGTGTGACCGAAATTCTCTCTTAGATTACCTGTTCCTAGTTGGTATTTCTGTGTCAGACCTAGTCGAAGAGTTTCAGAAGAGAAAACACCATCGATAGTAAAACTTCCAACATCATCTATTCCTTGACCAGTCACTGTGCTTGATGGACGATCGAATGTGAGTGGTAATCGAAAAGGTCCTCGCCATTTCCCATATTGATAATATTGAAAAGACCAAACTCCTGTCTCGAAAGGATCTTGTTCATAGTTGTAAGCATTTTGAGAATTCTGACGGATGAAATCTATGTTGCCGTGTGATGGTTGACCACGTATACAATAACGATACACACGCCGAATATAATATATGAGTATGCCCAATAACAATGTCATGAGAATTCCACCAGCAATAGCTTGTCTCGTTTCACATTCTTGAGTAGTACATGGTACTTTACTACCACCTAAATCAAAGCATTTCGATAGAACACAAAAATGAATTTTAGAATGAAATGAAGATGAAAACAATGAGAGTGAGTGCCGCTTTTATGCTTTCGTTATTCAGAACATTCACTTTTCTGATTAACTTACTGCCTCCACGTCCACCACCGCCACCACCTCCTCCTCCTCCTCCACCACCCCCACCACCACCAGCACCTGGACATTGAACGATATTGATCAAGAGAGCCACGATAAAAATGAAATGTGTCGCAGTGTGCATGGTTTAATCTAGAACAAAATCTTATACGTATCGTTATTCTGATAAATCTGATAGTCTCAAATTATGATATGCGATGACAACTCTAGCGAGAAGTGAATGAAACTAAATATTAATCGCAATGATCTGATGCATTCAGCAAAGTAATAAGGAAAAGATCTGTAAGAACAAGTACTATCATTTAATTGAGAAATAGATTGCATTGTTTCGGTTACGTTTCGATAATTAAAAAATTTGAAAAGTGCGTACAAATAATCGACTCTGTTCTAACTGCAAAAAATATTGTAGAGCATTCTTGTCTTTTCACCTTCCAAAGCTACTCTCAGTCATCGTATTGAACAAATACTTGCCACAACTCTGCGGCGACAATTATGAAAGTCAATCGACAGAGAACGTTATAATTGTGTTGAACAACGTTCTGATTTGTTTTCTACACGGTAATCCAAAAGAAAAAGTACAAACAAAATAGAAGAAAAATAAAAACGATAGTTTGCAGAAAGTAAACTAAAATCATTATTCAAACAAGTTGCATTTTATGTTATTTATTTTGTACCTTTCACAAAAATAAGACATTTTAATGGCGAATAGCTTCAGTTATCTACAATGCCTTTCATAGCGAATTAATTGGAATTATTGGCTGCGTACTCGATTTATTCAAAGCTATTAGCACAGTAAGAAGAAAGTTTTGTGAAAGGGAAAAATGCCAAAACTATTCACCAGTCAATTGATGGCTGCAAGACTACACATAATTGCTAATTCAATTCTTTTCTTTCATCACTCTATGTTGGATTATTCATCGTTTCTTATCGTTATTTTAATGTAAATCTTTCTCTTTCTCCATGTCTGCCTCTAGAGTTTTAGTCAGATCTCATCCGATAGATCGCTCTACAAGTTCATAAATGGCTAACATGATTATATTTATTCTAATAATAATAATTGGATTTCTGTAAAAGTCACTATGCAAAAATAGCCAGTGTAAGTTTGTTTCGATGTTTGAAGGGCTTCTCCCCTTATAAATACCACTACTTGAAGTGGATTTTCTAACCACAGTGATTTTAACGTAAGATATCTTAGGTCAGGATTCGACATTTTCCTGAATGGATTCGCGCTACAGTGCACTCCAACTGAGATCAGCAGCGCTCCAAGTAGAACTAGATGAGCTCTATCAGCTCCATATGTTTTCCCCCTAACACAATCACACCCTTCCACTAAAAATGCAAAATACTGCAAAACAAATGCCTAAAAAACCAGGAAAATTCAGAAAACCCCGTCGCGATTCGCCTAGAAGTGCATTCCAAGTACGAGACATACCTCTCCAGATAGAACTCAACGAGCTCTCCTAAGCGCAGGTATTATGACTTCACAGTCATTATGTATCACCAAGAAAATGTGTAAAAGTTCGTTAATGTCGCGAGTTTTTGACAATTTTTTAATTTCAATTACATTCTTTTTTTAAGTTAAAATTATTCATGGTCAAAATAGGGAAAATTGAATTTCGTAGATGGTACAAGTGCAGCTTACGCACACCCCTATTGTGTTATATAAAGACAGAACAGAAAAAAGAAATTTATTGGATAAATTGTACACCACTATTGAACGACATATCGTTCAACAGTGGTGTACAATTTATCCAATAAATTCTGTTTCCTGTTCTGTCTTTATATATATAACACAATAGGGGTGTGCGTAAACTGCACTTGTACCTATGGAAAAAGTTGCGACAAATAATTTTATTGGTTTTTCTCTCGTTTAATCAGTACGAGAGACAAAAAAGAGGGCGCACTTAGTCGATTGCTGAAAGTTTTCATTTTTTTTCTTTATGTTCCATCAATATGTGGAGGAACAAAAAAACAGTTCATATAAGGTTTTTCTCAGATTCAACAAACCATTGACAATATTTGAAAGAAAAATAAAAAGATAATTGAATCAAATGATAATAGTAAAATAATTTTTATTACATCTTCACTATGTAAATGTCGATAAGTGACTATAAAACGTCAAAAAGATCTGTCAAATGAAGCAGAACTGATTTTAGCGAAATGGATTTTTGTTAAAAATTGAATATTAGGGAATAAATCAATATATTCATATCAAAAGAATTGAATTGTCTTTTTATTAAAAAAATAATTTCATAAATTCCTTGCAAATATACCAAAATAACATCACATGATATAAACATTCAAATTAGAAATGCGAGCATCTTAGAAAACAAGAGAAAACCAATGAGAGATTTTATTTTTAAAGATTTTACCTTCACAAGTGAACCTCGATAAATCATCTTCAGAGAAAAAAATCATTATGATTTCTGAATAAAAACAACATTAATTTTTCATACTAAAACTCCAAACGAGTATATTGTTGCTGTATATTCCTTTCGAATACATAATATTTCCGAAAGTAAACTCATCAAGTACATTACTATCGATTAGATATATTTACCAAAAGAAGAATACATTGAAAGCATCAGCATAAAAAATATCTGTTACTATAGAAAACAAAAATAAATAAAATTGATTAAATAATAATACTAATTTTTAATCGTACGTGATTCTAATGAATTCTGATGATCATCAATCATGTGAAGCAAGAATAAATATAATTTTCAAGTTAAAAAAATAACGTCAAACAAAAATAATTCGATCATAAATCGAAAAATGTAGTTTTGTACGAAAAACATTAACACCATATCAAAATAATAAAAAAATGGTACACTAGTATAACAATGTGCTTTTTTCTATACTTTCTCATTCGTTGAAACGAAAGTACCAATAGTTTTTTTCTATTTTCCTCCGCATACACATACGATCCCAGAACGAAAAAATAAATTTCTATATCCTACTATCGCTCCCTCTTTCCTTCTCTTAATGCCATTCATCGACGTAAAAGAGTCAATTACTTTTCTTTTCTTTTCTGTTCACATATACATTTCATGAAACGCTGCCAAGAACTTTTTTTTCTTCTCTTTCTTCCTCTCTCTAATATGCTATGATAGAGACCAATGAACTGTTTTTACTTTCCTCCACATATGTATAGCCCATAAAGAAAAAAACAAGAAAAGTTTTAGCAATCGACTAAGTGCACCCTATTTTTGTCTCTCGTGCTGATTAAACGAGAGAAAAACTAATAAAGTTTTTTATGGCAACTTTTTCCACAGTCGGAACTGAAATTGAACGATGATTACAATAATTTTGCAACTGAATAATACTCAGATGTTTCATAATCCACGAAATTCAATTTTCCCTATTTTGATCAAGAATAATTTTAACTTAAAAAAAGAATGTAATTGAAATTAAAAACTTGTCAAAAACTCGCGAAATTAACGAACTTTTACACATTTTCTTGGTGACACATAATGACTGTGAAGTCATAATACCTGCATTTAGGAGAGTCGTCGAGCTCTATCTCGAGAGGTATCTCTCGTACTTGAAGTGCATTCCTAGGCGAATCGCGACAGCTATAATTAGAGAAAACGACTAATTAAGGGCTAATTAGCGATTTTATGGATCACTGAGCACTTACATGAGATGAAAAAGGGGTCCATCAGTTAGAGCTCGTCGAGTTCTATCTAGTGAGGTATGTCTTATCCTTGGACTGCGCTCTTGAGTGAATCGCGACGGGTTCTTCTGAATTTGCCTGTTGTTTTGGGCATTTTTTTTGCAGTATTTTGCGTTTTTAGCGGAAGGAAAGATTGTGCTGGGGAGAAAACATACGGAGCTAATAGAGCTCATCGAGCTCCACTTGGAGCGCTGCTGATCTCAGTTGGAGTGCACTGCAGCGCGAATCCATTCAGGAAAATGTCGAATCCTGACCTAAGATATCCTACCTGAAAATATAAAATGATTAAAAAGAGAAAATGATATATATATAGATGTTTCAATGATACATTATGATAAATGAGACAATTCGTGTTCAATATGGCGTTTCTCTGTACAACATTGGTAATTTAGAAATCGTTTATCTTAACTTCGGATTTATATTATTCTTTTGATGTTTTGTTTAAGTGCGACCAGATCTAGCAGAAGGATATTTCCGCAAGGTTATGCACCAATGATGGATGAAATTTTTACACACATCTGAATCGATCGGGTGTGGGTGTAGACAAATAGAAGAATCACACCCACACCCACACCCCACAATCACACCCACACCCACAGCCACACCCACCCACACCCTCATTCCGACATCTGCATATTTATTCAAATAAAAGCTCATATATTGTTGACTAACTTTGAATGTTACTTTCTGACGAACCTATTATCACATCACGAATGCCCTTACTATTATGTGCACTAAGTAAATCATTAATCTATTGTTGACACAGACAACAAATATCAAACTAATTAAACATATGAATCCAAAAATGCTATAATAATATCAGCTATTAATTGTGGTAAAATAAGCATCATAGTAGGGGTGTAGGTATGGATATCTGTGTAGGTATGGGCATTAGTCTTCACATCCACGTGCTATGCACGAGACGAATCGACGAAACAATATCACAGACAACACCTTAAGTGAATCAGGCAAAAGATAAAGATAACTAGTTTTGGTCTTACTCACACAGTCACATGCATGTAAATAATTCTGTTTAGTCAAATTACAATAAACTGGAAAAAATATCATTGGTGAAACTGACGACAAAAGGTGATGAAGATATGTTTCAAGTTCACATCTTGATGTGTCATATTATCGTAGCAGATTTCACTAAAACAGTAGGCGTCGAGTAACAAACCCATCAAAAGGGTTTGTTAATCTCATAAACCATGACGTGTACCCTTTTAGGAGTTTATTATTACGAAAAATGCTCTGATACATACCCTTTTGTTTTTCATAAAATCTTTAGGTTAGATGAGTAATTATCCACCATTTAAACTCTATTAAATTTAAAAACCCTTCAAAAAGTGATTTTCCTTCTACGGTCTTTTCTAAAGGCTCGACAACTGCTCAGATACTCCAAAACCATTTATGAAAGTATAACGCATAAAATACGGTTTCGAAGATTT